CTATATATATCTATATATATATCTATATCTTTCCCCCCCATCCATTAACATAGAGAGCTCAAAGCTATAAAACATAAGCAAGGTTAAGGCTGTCTGGAATTCCAAAACTGCATGAATGCCAACATACATTTAGAATTCCACTATCCAGCCTAAAACCGGAGCTTAAGTACCTTCCAGCACTATACCCTTGAGGGATATCAACCCTCTTGCCTCAGAATATCAGCCAATTCTGAGCTACAACAGCCAGAGCTGGGAAGGAAGTGGCCTCATGAGCTTGTCAGTGTTTAACGGTCTGTTCTGCAGGCCTTGCTCTGTTCCTCCCACGCTGCTACAGGCGTAAGGCACAGACAGATCAATCAAACCTTCTGGGCACAAAGAAGCAACAGAAAAGTGCTGAGAGTCAGGGCTGCTTGTTTACTCGCTCTCCAAGCCCCCCAGTCTGAATCAAGAGACACACTCCAGGCATAAAGTCCGCACAATCATTTTTAATCACAAATGCAGGGAGTCACCATCTCTGCAGGGGAGATTCAGGCATGACGGGCAACAGCAGCGCATGAGATGCCACACTGACCTGAAGTGATGCACCTTGACTTCTTGGCTTAAACAGTCTTATGAAAGAGATAAATGACTACTGGAGAGGGAGGACATAACCAGACAGGTAAAAGAGCAGCAGAAGAATTTATCCCTTAGTTTTACTTAATTAAATAATTTTCTCTGCTCAGCTGTATGCCTATGGGCAGATGGGGAGGTGAAAGCCTGGCAAACAGGCAGTTGCTATATGGATGCAAAGATCCTTCTGCGGTGGGTACCACTCTCTCATGCTTCCCTGAACAACATACAGTGTGTTTACATACAGCAAAACTACCACTGAACCCACCACAGGCTTGTTTTCCTTTCTGTGCAATAGATGCATTACGTTAGTGCATCTGTGTGTGTCTGATAACATGCCTGCTAGATTATCCAACACATCCCTACCCTGTTTGACACTCATCTGAACACAAAATGTGCTATCAACAGACATCAGCAGCTAAAGTGAAGGCACACACGCAGCCATGCCCCCCCCACTGACAGGCTTCCTGCCAATGTAGCTAGCTGGCTCTGGTGCAGTTAAGTCTTACTGAAAGGGTTGGTTTTTTTCTTTAAGGAGGAGAAAAAGTGAACACGTTTCTAAGCTAGTCCCAATTCCCACTGCCTTGAATTCATGTAACACGAATGAAAAATAGAGCAAATTGATTGTCACCACTAAGCCAGTCTCCTTTAGCTCTGAATAACATTAAAAAGGGCATACATCAAGACAGAGATTCAAAGGGCAGGCTGAAATTCTCCAGCTCACTCTGTTGCAGTCAGGGAAGAAAATGGGACATAAATTAGGAGTGAAACTGAACATTTTCTGACCAGCATGGAAGGAACCTACTGTACTGTGTGTCAGGACTTAGGAACACCTCCTGGTCGTGGCACTCAAGTCCTTCCAGTGCAGCCAGCATTTTTCCAGCTTGCTAAATCTTTTGGGACTCAGGAAAAGTATTTTTAGGTTTAACTGCTGGCTCAGCCTTACCACAAACTATGCGGAACCTATTAACACAGAAGGTGCATTTTTCATTCTAATAAGACAGAAACTATTTATACCAATTCTAGAGAGGAAAAATGACAAGCCTACTGCAGAGCTGAGCCAGAGTGTCTCTTAAGTTTTCAAGTATGAGTGAACAAAGTTAAATGTATAATTATTGGTCTAATTTACAGGGCATATACGAATCTCTGGTGCCCACTGCAGCCAAAGGGAATTACAGAGGATTTTAAGAAGTAAGTAATTATAGATTAAAAGAAAATTAAATCAGGACACTTATGGGACACCTAATTTTGTCTGTAGAAGCCTAGCAAAACGCAGCTGTGATTACTTCTGCCTGTATCTTAATAGCTATTTATTCCAGTCATTTAACAGGTTTTTGCTTAATTAAAGCCACATAAGTAAGAAGCTACCTGAACACAGTATCCTTGTAGCACAGCCTGGGCTTCAGACATAAATGCTCATCATCTGGCCCTGCTTTTAAAAGCCCTATTCGTGCTCCATCCTCTTTCTCCTCAGCTTAGGCTTGCTGCCCATTTTCTCCAAAGCAGGGCCTCCCTGGCACCCTGCCTCTGCTGGCAGAAAACAGGGGTTCTCTCAGTCCTTCAGCTTTGGGTTCACTCCTCCTTTGCAGCAGAGGCAACAGAGGAGGAGCACATGTTTCTTCTTTTGTTTCTAAACAACTGCTACAAGCTGCTGTGCCCGCAAGAAGTGCCAGGATCACAGCATGGTCTGCTCTTTACCCCCAAAGACGCGTTGCATCAATTTGCAATTTCCTAAGCCACATTCACGTTAAGCAAGACAATGGCAGCATTTATAAGAAAGCGTACATGCATATAGTTTAATCGGTATTTGTTACTAAATCATTTTAAATCGACTAAACAGTGTTCAAGACTGGTCCTACTGCAAAGGTTGGTCATATTTCCCCAAAGTTGTAAAAACAAATAAAACAAAACTGACAGAGTCTGCTTCTAAATCCAACTACTTTATGCAAGATCTTGTCTGGACAGGATATTTCCACTGTTTTCTCCCAGCAGTGTAATACATTAGTAAATGCAGCAGTATAAGCTTAAGGCTAGCTTATTTAATACTACAGACAAGAGTTTTCAAGTAACATAGACCACGTATTTTTATTCCTTTTTATATTTTTTTTTTAAAAAGAACTTGTAGGAAATATTTTGCAGGAAACTATTCCTTCGTAGCCTGCTATTCCTTCCCTTAAATCAAGATGTTGTTCTACTACAATTACAAACCCAGTGAGGAACAAAAACTGAGACCCTGAAGCTCTGGGTTGGACTCAGCTGACTTGGAAGGGATGGTGCAGAGAAACTACTAATTGTAACATCAAGAAAGGAAATTCACAATAAGAAGCTGACTGTGGAAAAGCTCATGTGTGGCAGAAGAGATGGAAGAGACTGTTCTAGGCTTAGGGAGCAGTCTGAATAAGGTATGACACCAAGAAGGAGAAAACTGAGGAAGCAGCAAGGCAAGACCAGGATATCCAAAAGGGATAAGAGGGAATGTGATTAGAGATGTGGGTTGGGTAAGATTGCAGAGGGTTCTTCAAATGAGAATGAGGAATTCAAATTTAATACAGAAACTGCAGGAGAGAGTCAAGCATCATAATGACACAGACAGAGATGCAAGAGACAACTAACATGACATTTTTAATACACCGGAGAAATGAACAGTGAAAACAGAAGACAAACCAAGTCATGGAGATCAAGGTAAGAGTTCGGAGTGAGAACAGAGAAGGAAAGATGAGTTTCCATGAGACAATACAGCAAAAGAAACAGCAACTCTTGGCAACGACCTAAATAAGGGAAAAGAAAGAGCAAGAAGTGATATGTGGGAAGCTACCCAGGGCCAACAGGACAGAAGTTGTGAGGGACTAGGAAAACAAGCAGCAGCTCAGCTTCTACAAACTGAGTGTGTGATGGCAGCTATGCACACAAGAACAGATGTAAGATGGAAGAGACTGGAAGGGAGGCTGAAAGCAACAGCAGAGATCTGAGAATTGCTAATTAGAATGGCGCTCCCATTTTTGTTCCCTGAAAAACAAAAATACATTCAAGCTAGACTGGACAATTTCTCATTCTTCCTCATCCCCCCAACTCTTCCAGTCAATATTCCCTACTAACCTGGCATTTGAAACTCTTCAAATACTCGGCCCCCACCTGATCTTCTCGCTCAAACCCCGGTGCTTTCTTGTAGCTGCCGGCTGCTGTTACTGAGTCTGGAGGAAAACCAATGGTCTCCAAGCTGTGTGGCTTTCCAATGGCACCAGGAGGAGACCCACATATATTAGATGGGCTTCCGAGACTGCTGTTCCTACAAAGAATCTAATAGAAGGAACAAGTGTCAGGAAAGTACAGCTAGCCAGTAGCAAGAACTCGAAGAGGAGAGGCATCCCACGGAACAGCTCATTCACTTCACTGTTTGCGCATCGATTATACTGACAGTCAACACAAGCATACAAGCTTCCAGTAAACAGTAATTAAAAACTAATTAAAAAGCTCTAGTAGATATTGCATTTATACAATCCAACAATTTTAGTTTTATTGTCACTACTTTGTACTGGAGTGCAGTCTTACAAAACCCAAGCTACAGCTCTAGTGACATTCATTCTTTTTGAGGCCTCAGATGTGACTGATCAAGTTTCCAAACCTGACCAAAACTCTCTTCGCTTTCCTTAGGCTACAGTGGATCCTGTCTGCACTCTGAGTAGTAGTGTGAAACCTGGAAAGGTGCTATGGCAGTCAGAACAACCAAGTATATCTGACCTATGTGTAACACTTATCTTTTGCTTTCCAGTTGGAAATCTGAAAGTTTTAATGCAGGCACAAACCAAGTACCAATAGCTGCATTAAAAAAGCCAAGGATTTCCAACAGTTTCATTCTTCCGACTAATACCAGGGATCACAATTACATGCAACAAGTCTATTTTTGCACTGTAGATGAAGCCACAGACAGCAGCAAAGGAGATCAAGATCAGTTTTAGAGAAAGTGCCTACCTGGATCAAAGCAGGTATCCCATTTCTCTGGGACAAGAAATTATTTGCCTGCACTGGCAAGCATGACTGTGCTTCAGACATCATTTAGACAGCTACTGCTAACATAGATTCAAATGTGGCACAGTCTGGGCTGGCATTAGAAAGAAGGAGCATCCTACAATGTTTTGATTTTATTTTTATACAGACATTCTGCTGTCCATGCTTCCCTACAGTCGCAAAGATACTACTCACTGTGGTGGAGGTGGGGCTAGTTGGCAGAGTTCCTGATTTATTCCACACCTACAGTACAAATACAAAACAGAACAGGCCACGTGAGGCTGGCTGCTAGAGGGACCTTTTTCTCTGATTAATTCATCATGTAAAATGATCACCAGCAAAGCCACATTTGTTTGCAAGCGACATGCAGATGCCCTGTGGAGTGATGAAGTCACAGAAAGACATGTGTTGCTGCTTGGCATGTATCCAAGGATTAGGAAAGACTGTTTAAAAGACTAAGAGCTTGAGATAGAAAAAGACCTAAACGGTGTATTAAGTGGGAGATATCTTCCATTTCACTGCAGTTTTCAGAGAATTTAGATGATACACTCCTAAGACAAAGGGACTTTGGTTTTTTATTGCTTTCCACAGTGTTACTTAGTGACAGAAAATACCACGTCCAGATTTTTCAAGATCTGTTTGGAATTCTAGCTGCAATCAAATTCAGGAGAACTATGAACTGTTAGGTTGGCTCTGGCAGCAATACAACCAAACTATCAGCTTCTCTTTTCAAAGACGGGAAATAAGATAAAACAGAGGTCCTAAGTGAGTTCACCTCATTCTGACCAGTTTCAAATGAGTTAAACTCGCATCATTTTACCTTCTCAAAACCTCGACCAACCATTTGAAAAGGTTACACACCTTATCAACAGTAGTGCAAACAGGAAAGACTTAACAAACAACAAAAAAACCTCAACAAAAATTAAGTGGCCTAGCATTCCATGGGCTTCTTATCTGTCTGTATGCATCTGTCCAGCATTTGAAGATCTCCTTTCTTGTAGGTACAACTAAAATAAAGTGCTACCAACAATGTGGGGCATTACTTAAACATATTCCAGAGTTTAGCTACCTCCAGAAGTAGGAGAGGGAGGGAATCAAGGATATGCTATAATGCAGCACACAGTATGCACAGACTAAGCCTCTGAGATTACATATGTAAACAAACTCAATTGTAGTTATGTACTTTAGACATTATTGTTTCACAGCCTTTAATTACAGTACTTGGAAACTAAGCCCAATATGTACCTCCAGACAGGAAGGAGTTGGACTTCATGGGTGGATGTATTCCACTTTCCTGAAAGTACATCAACCAACTCTGCACAAAAAGGAAGGCTTAGAAATTTTATAGACAAGAGGACAATACTAAAGCCACTGAATTGTATGTTCCAAACAAACAGATCCCTCTAAAAAGTGCGGAGCTGAGATCTAAAAGAAAAATGCCATATCCTTTGGGCTTTTGGATACTTAAGATTTCTCTTCTTGGAAGAAAGAAATACAGCAACTTAGAGAAACCCAGACTTATTAAATATGGACAAGGCTTCCCCACAGTGCTACATACATTGCTAAGGTCTGGGGCATGTGGACTGGAAGGGCTGACCGGAACAGAGTCACCAGCTGCCGACGGCATATACATCACAGGGCCTGTCTGTGTCGGGCTAGACACAGCCGAGGATTGCTGTAAATCTTCATTGAGCACAGGCTCTGGAAGAAATAAAAGCAGACGGAATGTTACTCAAAGCTGTACAATTGCAATGGAGTACAAGACGTTTAGAAGCAAGAATACCTAGATATTCCTGAGAGCAGAAATACTCTTCCACAAGCACCTACTTATAAGTACAGAAGGAAGGAGAAACCTTATCTGGCAAATGGCTACTACTTATCTAATATTCCTTACATTATCACTGTCATCACTTGTACACTGTGCTGCTCTTTAGTCCATTAGCACTGCTCCAAAATCATCTTCCCTGCATGAATTGTGTGTTATTCATTCAGCTGTCCTGAACTAAGCAGAGCTCCTTCATTGCTAGGCACAAAGTTGATGGGTGCATTATAATTAGCTGAGGGAGGTAAGCTTCCATCTGTGCGGAGTACAAACCATTATCCAAAAAAAAAAAAAAAAGTAACATACATAGAAAGGCATACACGAAAAGAAGGTGTCATTGGCTTGGAAGGTAAAGTAGAGATGCTGTAGACTTGTAGCATTCACATCTAGCGCAACTCAGCATCTTTACAAAAACTATGTAACTGGCACTATGCCTGTATCACAGTATGTTTAAAGTACTGATTTCAACACATTTCTTGCTAATAATCAGCAAAATTCATGTTAAGAGCAGATATAATAAATGGACTCCTGTTATTTTAATTGCATTAAGCCCTCAGTGTTCACCTTGCTAAGAAAGGACTAAAAGATACAATTCCATAAGACGGCACAAGAAATAACCAAGTTGGAATGACTTACGTGCCACAGAATGTTATTCTGGCTTTAATATAGTATAGTAACAAGTGTAGTAAACTCGTTAGGAATAAGGCATCTCCTAAACAAAAATACTATGTTATACACAAGGGAGCTTGCTAAACACTGGGGTTTTTAAATCAAGATTTCATTCTCTCAGGCTTGCTGGATCATACTGTGTAGTTGCACTACTGTGTTTTGGGCCATTATAGCCCACAGCTCTGGCTATAATTGCTGCTTGTCGACAAGGCTTCCTATAAAAGGAACTGCATAACCTGTAGGGAATTTACTCTCACCATTCCTTGACAAAGGCAGCAATTACTAATTCCACCATTTACAAAGGATAATCAAGTAAGAGATTTGCTCAAGGCCATGTAGTGAGTCAGTATCAGAGCCAATCTATTGACTACTGAGTAACCTGCTCTAATTACTGCAAATTCAACAGCGAGACTACAGTGTAGAAACTCAGTAGGAGCCATATGACCAGGAGTTAACCATTTATCTAAGAATGTTAGTACCCACCTGAATACAGAGCTCCCACAACCAGAAAAGCATCATAGTTTACAGATGAAAGTGAGGATTGAAATAATGCCCTATAAATCAAGGAGCTATCGAAAAAAGAGGATTTGAGGAAAAGCAGACAAAAGCGCTGCATATTTTTCTTCCTCAACCCAACTTAAAGATTTAAACTCTAAGCCAAACTTCATAAACAGTAAAATAGTATTTAATTTTTAAAACGGATCATTATCTATAATTAGCATTTTTATCCTCAGCTTTTTAAAATACAACTTTCCAACTTAGCTAAGTACAGTTCATCCATGTACAGAAGACAAGCAGCTTTCTCCGTTTCTGTCTTCCTAAACTCACATACAGAGAACTGAGCAAGTGAGAGGGAACAGAGGGAGATACTTCAAGAGACAGTGCAGTGAGAGCTGAGTCCTACAGACTACCTACTGCCTCCAGCTCTGCTAACACCCCCAACACTAGCACGGTTCTACAGGAATTATCAAAGTTAATACTTTGGTTTTGAAAATCCTTCATAGAAGCTCTAGTTTAGCAGCCCTATATTTTAAATTATCTATTTTGGTCAGAAGCTCTCCATAGCTCAAATATCCACGAAAGACGAAAGAAGCAGCCCACGTACGTTCTACATGTGCAAAGGCACAGAAGGGTCCTCGGGGACAGCTGCCAGACTGCTGCATATCATTGCATTTGGTGGATTTGTAGATCTAAGGATGGGAAAAAAAACAAAAACAAAAAAAACCAGACATGAACAGGAAAAAAACAGTGACCAGCAGCCCAGGTACAAAAGTACTACAAAGAGACTCAACAGCAAGATCGGAACACCGATAAAAGGCGCAAAGGTCAGCAGAGTTCAGTGCTTCCCTTCAAAGAAAGGAAAACCCACTATAGTTATGGAAACATCAAAATACGCCCATTACAGCTAGAGGTCCCCCAAAGATCAACCCATCACATGTCAGCTCACCCAGAGGTCACCATTTGCCATAAAGTCCTTCAGTCTCACTGGAACCTCCACTGATATTACAAATGGTAAAAGGTAGGAAACAGTTGACAGATGACAGCACAGAAAGTTACAGCCACGTGTTTGCAAGGAAAATAACAAACCACTGACAATGACTGTAGGAAATGGATTATTCCCCTTCCCCCTAGTTTGACAGGCGGTGACAATGGTAACCCTGCCAATACAGGCCCAACAAAGCTTTTCAACACTGTAATGTGAGGCAGACTAGGACACGGTCTTATTTACGCTTTCTGTAAGGATATTGGAATGCTCTGGGCATGCTTACAACTAAGAGCTTGGTGGTTTTTAGCACCAGTTTGTGGGTAACTATGGTTTAGCGTGATGATCATCAACCCAGAATTTTTCCTCAAGGAAACAGATGCTGTATGCTCACCTGCAAACCCACATCATGCTTTCAAAAGGACCTCTGTACATGAGACTGCTCTTACACTTGAGTCTTCCCCTACTTTTCTTATCTCCTCCCATACAGTCTACCTAATGAAAAGGCATCCCTGTCAAGCAGCTGAATTTCAGCTTACTTCCAACATGCAGTTTCTCCGTATCCCAGGACCACACTGCAAGCAGCTCACATACTCTCCCACTTGGCACACTAATTTACTTCATGAGACTGTAAGGCTTTTGCTTTTCTAGTCAGCTACCAAATGGAGCAAGCAGGTTACTGTACCTCTGGATGGAACTGCTGTTCTGTGCGAGTGTGGCAGTATTGGCATGAGTCTCCATTTTCACACTTACTGGGATCTCCCCACTCGTCTCCATGTTTCACACTGGGACATGGCGAAGATCTGTGTAAATAAGGTAGCAGGAGAAGGCATCAGACTCAAAAATGCGCTTTGAGCTTTGCTTCCTTTCAGCAGGTCAAGGGAGGTGATTCTCCCCCCCTTCGCTGCTCTCATGAGACCCACCCCATAGTCCTGCATTCAGCTCTGCACCCCCAACACCAGAAGGACATGGACCTGTTGAGCAAGTCCAGAGGAGGCCACGAATATGATCAGAGGGCTGGAGCACCTCTCCTGTGAAGACAGGTTGAGAGAACTGGGCTTGTCCAGCCTGGAGAAGAGAAGGTTCTGGGGAGACCTTAGAGCAGCCTTCCCGTACCTAAAGGGGCCTACAAGAATGCTGGGGAGGGACTTTTTATAAGGGCATGGAGTGACAGGACAAGGGGCAATGGCTTTAAACTGGAAGAGGGAAGATTCAGATTAGATACAAGGAAGAAATTCTTCACAGTGAGGGTGGTGAGGCACTGGCACAGGTTGCCCAGAGAAGTTGTGGATGCCCCATCCCTGGAAGTGTTCAAGGCCAGGCTGGATCAGGCTTTGAGCAACCTGGTCTGGTGGAAGGTGTCCCTGCCCATGGCAAGGGGGTTGGAACGAGTCCTTTCCAACTCAACCCATTCTGTGATTCCTCAACCAGGAGGCAGGTTTGGCTGCCCATCCTCAGCTGTACAATCTGTTTGGCTGGCTGCTGCTTCCCCAGCCCCAACCCTGCTTCTTGCATCTTCTTCCCCTTCTTCCAGTTTCCCAGTGAAAGAAACATGGCTTAACTCTCCATCTGAAACTCAATACAATCTGAACCAACATAACTTAACAATATTAGTAGCTGACGTGATTAGTGTCAGAGATGCTGGGTCTGGTTTCTGTTTTGGAACTGTACATTCATAGAAAGCTAATAAGTTAATTGGCTAATCCTAAAACACATAATACCCTTACAGTGGTATATTTCCAGGGTTATAGTATGGCCTTGTGGAAAAGAGGCTGAGTCAGGTCACTGGTGAAAAGGCAAGTCCATTTTCTTTCTCCCAGCCAGGAACAGTTCTTTTCCCCCGTTCTGAATTTTTGCTGTGACCTACTTCCCCTGCTCTTTATGCTCTTAACCATTCCTTCAAACAACACCAGAGGGAAGCAGATAGCAGTAGCAGATGTCTGCATGAAAGCCAGCCACATCAGCTGGGGGTGGGGAAAACACCACAGAAGTGAGTGGATATCAGGAAGGGAGAAGCTTTCACCTCTTCCCTTCCCAAAGGGCCCGTGCAGGGGCAGAAAGCACACAGCTGCTGCCTGAAGAATGGCTTAGAGTTTCTGTTTCTCCTGAAAGTGTTAGGATTAATGTTCCTTTGACTTCTGCTTAATTTTTTAAATATGGGATTTCAGTGCCAATTTAAAAATTTCTGTGAATGTTGGGGGTGGGGAAGGGAAGCGAGAACATCCATGGTATTTTCTCTCCTGGCTTTCTGGTGGGCTTTTACAGTTTTCAAAAAGGAACTAAGGAAAAACCCCACTGAGACCACAACAAAAGCTCTGTTGTGTTGGAGGAAATGAGGGCCTATAACTTGGATAAAACACTTTCAGGGAGACACGGCACACTGAAAAATCCAGCGACAGCTGAGCGACGAGAACACCCTGGTGCCTCAAAAGCAGAGTCTTTAGCAGTTGGTTAGGAATGCATGTCCAGCTACAGTACAGGTCACATCGTGCCTCACGATCCCCATCACCAGCCACACACAACAAGCAGCTTGATGATTCTGAATCCTTTATCATGAAAGCACTGCTGTGTGAGTTTGTTTCTAGATGGGGATTAAAACTTCCTTTTGTTTTCTTTTTCCTGCACTGCTTTCTAAAGCAGGAGTTTATATGGCAAGGGGAAGCCAGACACAGGTTCTGTCTGTTATAAAATCAGAGTTGTAATGTGATTTAGCAACAGTCATTTATTAGAGATACTGGTTCCTACATACAGGAAAAGTCTTGTTTAGCTTGTTATCCTTCTCACAGACAGAAGTAACAGTTCATCACATCTGTCAGTACAGGCCTTTGAGACACACTAAAAAACTACCTAGTGGACAAAATCCTAGATCCTTCATTACAGATTTCTACTACACCTCACCGCTCAGCTGGGAAACAGAGTATCGAGGACCATGGTACCTGTATTTGTGTTTTCTTGGGCTTCTTCTTCTGTCTTTGCTATTGTGGTAGTAGGGACAGGCATAACCCTGGCGACAGAGACGAGGAGGTTTCTTACATTGCTCTGTCTTGTAATTTCCCAACACATACGTTGTATCTGCAAAAGTTGTAACCAGTTAGTGGGAGATGACCATCATCTATATTTACTATACACAAGTTTTGACAGGAGTGGGCACTCCACACCACCAGACTTTCCCAGCCCCACAGCCCCCTAAATGACACTCACCTTGCCATCTTGGCTCCTCACTGAGTATTTTCTCTATCATAGCATGGCTAGCAGCAACTGCAGACTGACCCTCTATGCCACCTTCTGATGTAGTCTGACCATTCTGCAAAGCCTCCATCGCCTGAAGCTCCCTTTGTGGACAGAGTTAAAAGAACATACAGACTGAGCAGATGAAGAGACAGATAAGTGCGTATAAAACCTGACATATTGGAGCATGGTAACAATTCCTAAGTGGGTGCATTTCATTCATGCTTCTTTCGTTAGAACATCTTTAGTCGAACAGCAACTGCAATACATGTTCTTCATTCCCTGGGAATTCCAGACGCGTTATTTTGACCGCCCCCCCATCAGACTTCAAACCACTGCACAACTAGTTTAAAGTGGGCTCCCTTCCCCCATTTTGAGCATCTTCCCTGGAGATTTTGTAGATTTGTCTTATTAGGCAGGGATATATCATCATGACTCCAACACTAAGCATTTCACGTTGAAGTAGTACTGTCCTTCAATCATCTGACTTTTCATTTGGGTACAGAAATTAACTTTTTCACACAGAGCCCCAACCTCTACTAACCTGATGTCATACACCGGAGAGCGTAGGTCATGGGGCCCATGAGCGAACGCGCAGTGGACTCCATTCTTCGTGCAGTTTCCCTTGGAGTCTGTCTCATGAATGCAGATTCCAGTTTTGTAGTAGCGCAAGTGATACCTCCTTTCTGTGTCTCCAGTAGTTCTATGCAAGAAGGGACATCTGAAGTACAGAAGGAAGGGAAGAACAGACAAAGTTTAATCACACAGGTGACTGAGTCAACACTACCAGAAGACATATTGCCGATACAGGATGCTGCATTTGACAACACCCTTGCTAACTCCGCCCCTTCTCTTATGCTGTGCCTTCCAACGCTACACAGAACCCCTAAACCTGTCACTACACAGTATATAATAGTTTCCCTCCCAATAAGACAACTGGATTATTAAACCAGCAGCAGCTTATTATTCTAGTCTAGTGACTGCCAGGGATCTGGAAAAGAGCAAGGACACTGTCAAGGTGTTCTGATATACTAGTTGTGATTGAGGGGACATCACATGGCACATACCACTTCCTCAGTACCCCATCTAGAAAAAAAAATCCTGCTGATGTACTCCTGTATGGCTGTGACAGTCTATCAGCCAGATGCATCTTTTATGCAGAGCACGGGACAAGAAAGGAGAATTACAACACTACCATTTTAACTTGTTTTGTTTCCCCTCTTAGGAAGAAAAAGAGCAATTCTACACTGAGAAATAAAGAAAGAACACAATGGAATAGGTAAAGTTTAGATATTGCCGCATCAAACTAAAAAGACAAATCAGCAATGAGTTCTGAGATGGCAACAGTTTTCATTCACTGAGTTTGAGCCCGATATGAACAAGTGATCTAGAAGCCAAAGCCCCCAAATATCCTATTTCCAGTCTCTTCCAGTTCTCTTCTAACAAGGAAGAAAGTATTGAAACTGAGGTTTCAGGCTGGGGGATTATTCTATTCTGCTGTAGTCACAAGATCTTTACTTAATTGGGGAGAGAAAAAAAAAAAATGTTTTCCTGATAAATAGCATTTTTCTGCGTGTTTATACTGGCACCATGAAAGGGAACTGGAATTCCATCTTTCTATAGCATCTCTACATAAAACACTCCCTATATTTGACCACAGTTTGGCTACACTATTTATTCTTCCATATCTGTCACATGGCTAAAGTTATACTACTGGCTTAACCCTTTAATTGCAGGAGTCTGCCACATGCACAGTAGCAACACTTGCATCTCTGCTTCAGTTAAACTTACTGTACTCACGGGGAGAGAAAACCCAATA